ACCTTTCGCAGTTCGAATACCGCTGAAGGTGTTGATAATACCGATGCAAGGTGGAAACTGCAGTCCACTCCAGCCGGGATGAGAACCACTTTTGGGAAAACAAGGCTATGTGAAATTCAATGGAAACGTCAGCTCTACTCATATCATTGTGGGAAAATTCTTCTTCTATCAGTCTTGGGTGAATACATCTCAAGAATTTAGTTGCCTTAGACAGGTTAAGGTGATTTAAGAAATGACAGTGTAGTTTATATCTACAGTGATGCACATCTCGATACCATTAAATTCTTCTTGGTTTTGCTCCAAAAAATTTTTATCAGCCAGACTGAACTACCGATTCAACCTCGACCAGGTCTCATGTACCAGAGTGCCTGTGGATCGCCTGGCAGAGATGATCTTCACGACAAGCCGGGAGCCTCTCGAATCACATTTTCAGAAAGGTTATCGATGAGGCGAAAATGCATTTGCTATTGAATCATACTACGTTACTTATAATCTGTGTCAGTATGCTGCACAACATTAAGCAATTCTTAAATAAAATCTTAGTTACTCTGGTTCGCTTAGGGTTATTTAAGGACTGTTAGTGAAGTTCTGCCATCTACTGTTACTCATGACTGTGTTACGAAATGGCATCGTGACGACACGATGAGCATCATTAAGTGTGAGAATCATGCTAATTGGGTGGGGCTGTAAAGATGGTGGGGTGAGTTGGAAACTTCAGTCAAGCCTAGATGAGAAAAGGTACATTTCAGTGGTGTCAAGAGGCTAACTCGTTGCATAGTAGAACAACATGGACCGATTCCTTATATCCTAGAATGCCGAAGTTCTTGTTGAAAGCAACTTGGTCTTGTTGTCAGGGCGACTATGTAGAACGCACCTAGTCCAAAGTCGTCATGATTCTCAACATCTGGTCCAATGGACGAAGATGACGTATTCCACTGAAAGTGTCGGTGAAACACCTGAAAATGTACCAAGCCAGCGGTCCGATGCTGGAAATGAGTAT